CGACGGTCATGCCAATCGACAGAACATGGGCTCACTATTACAAAAACGAGAAAAAACAAGCTCTAAGTCAAGCGGACTGATCCAGCTCATCTCTACATGCCAAAAATGAACAAAAATGGATAAAATGCAGACAGCTAATTAGCAGTTGCTTCGTGTCCTCGCTTGCACATGTGTACGTATGTGCAAGTGTAGCACCATCTGTATCGATATGATACAGTTCTTACTTGATTTTGCCGTTAGCATTGAGACTATTTGAGGAAGACCTGAAAACTTGCGGCCTGGAGAAGGTTCGTCGAATGGAATGACAAAGGGAGGCTCAGTCCTTTTTTGTCGAAGTCGAAAGAGGAAGACTGGTGGACAACAAAGATCGAACTCTGTAGACAATCAAGGCCAGCAGAACAACTTTAGCCAAAAAATGAAGTTGTAGCTTGGCTTATACAAATATTAACTTATTCCAGTCGAGTGGGTCCAGTACATTTTTTGATCTTTGCTAAAAACATGGGTCAGCCTAGACCACTTGGAGTCGTTTAGGGTTGAGATCTACCGTTGACTTTGGGTTAGAAGACCTTTTTCATGAGGTAAGATTGAGTACTAAGTTTTCCACTGACCATATTTTGGAGCATATTCAAGCATCAGTCTTGCCTCACTTTGGGCGATCTACGGAGACAGATTCAGATGCCAGATTGTCCGCACCATATGACTTAGGTAGAGAGAGGAAATGCACGAAAGACCTGCATTTTCTTTCAACAAGAAACTCGTCAATTATGAACGGATCTGTAATTCGCCGCGACATACAGCTGAGCCTGGAATGACCTAAAGGTCATCCGTAGGTCAAACCTGATGGAAAGACGGCAAGAGGAACTATGTGGATCAGGCGTTGTTCCAATTTCATTCTATCGCCGAAGAAGTGGCTTGGAGATTACTACCCTATTCCGTGAAGATTGCATTTCGTTAGTCGTCTTTTGACGTAGTCGTTAAGCGGTAAAATGAGACTATATACGGCACTGCAATAGCTCGAGTCGTCCGGCTGAGGTGCAGATGCGAGCTGGGCGAGGTGGAAACTGGAGTCCACTTCAGCCAAAATGGGAATAGCTTTTGGGAAAGCAAGACTGTCCTGTCGGAAGAGGATGACATGCCTTTGTAGAATAGACCTAGTCTGTAGGCATCATGTAGACATAACTTAAACACAGCACCATCAAGCTATATTCGTATGAGAGTAGGGTACCGAGACTACCAGTAAATCAGTGTAATGAGATGTAATCACCCTATTTCGT